CAACCTCGGTCTGATACATCGGTCCGACTGTAAAAAATGCGCGATCGGGATGCAAGGGCCTCGGAAGGACAAGGGCAACCTTGGGCTCATCCTCACTAAATGTGTTGCGATCGGGCAAGGGAGGGATATAAGGCCCATCCGGACTACATGCACGTCCTCGTCGAGCTGCAGCAGTTGGAGGACTACCACATGGGCTGCGATGGGCTCTTACCATGGGGGAAGGGTGGAAGGGAAGGATGCAAGGGCGCAGGGTAACCTTGGGAAACCGCTCGTCCTTACAACATGAAGGAAGGACGCAAGGGCGTAGGGTTAAGTCGGGCGTGTCCCCCATACAGGGGGATTTTCGACGAAAGAATCTTAAACATAAAAAAACGCAAACCATAATCCAAAAATAATCCAAAAATAATATGGGGACTATTTTTTGTATGTTTTGACAATTTTGGTATATTTTTGAATATTTTTTACTTTTCGCCCAAAATCCCCATGTAGGGGGACACGCCCGACTTAAGCGTAGGGTCACCTCGGGACGGTGCGGGTCCCGACCGTGCGGCCTCCCTGCGCGTGCGCTGCGAGCCCCGGCTGCGGGACCCAAGGGGCCCACTGCTGGCGCCGATCTCTCAGGGGCCCGATGGCGCCGCGGGGCGTTGCTGCGGTTCGAGGGGGCCACTGGGAGGCTGAGAACTCCTCGTGGGGTTACTGCTGGCAGGCTGACCTCCTCAGAGTGAGGGGGCCAAACGGCCATTCCTCGCCCCTGGATGTGCGCCTGACGTGTGATTCCGCTGCGCGGATGCTTCTTGTTGTTGAGTTGCGCTGTCTTCTGTTGCCGTCGTCCCCCCCGCGACCCGCCCCACGACCCCCCCCCCGCGACCCCCCCGCACGCCTCCTTACCCTTACCCGCCATTGCGGGGTGCTGAACATGGAGTGTGTCTACTGTACTGCCTCAGTGGCCCGCCGATGCTTTAGCCTGTGGTTATGTTGCTCCCATTCTACTTAAGGACCACATCCCAGGAAAAATTTCGAGCACCCGGAAAAGTGTCGAAACAGTGTCGAAACAGTGTCTCCCAGGGCCCGACACGTGAACACCCCTGAGTTTCGCTTCTGTTTTGGGCGCTCGAAATTCGTCCTGGTGATCAAGGCTAAAGTAGGTTGGAGCATCATAAGCCTGCGGTTCTCGGGAGAAGCAACTCTTCTCGGCTCTCCGACGCCGTGCTCCAGCTTGCTCCCTGGCGTTGCTCCCTCCGCCCCGGTCTCCGCGGGGGCCCACGCTGCTGGAGGCCTCTTCGATAGGGGTAGATCGCCGATGCAGCGGCGCCGCCCGCGTAGGGAAAACTGGCCCCACATCGAGCCGCATCGGCGATGCATCGGCGATGCAGCGCGACCGTCCGACCCCATCTACACAGACAGCCGACTGCTCCAATGTTTGCCGATGCGTTGGCCCCGGAGGTCCAGACCACTTCCCTATATAGGGCCCGTGGTTCGTCCCGAGTCGTTTTCTGACGCTCCCGAGGCCCGGCGAGGGCCCCCAGAGGCCGAGCGGGCCAACAACCGCCTGCTCTGGATCTCTGGATAGGAGGCCTGGAGTCGTGTCCCAGGACGCTCAGAAGTGCACCCTGGGACAGAACAAGAACACTCCCGGGGAAGTGGTCGAGACCTCAGGTCCGCGGCGAGACCCCGGGGAGAAGGTGAGAGGGGTGGGCCTTGTCAGAAGGCTCTGATGGGCCAATTTTCCACCACCACAACCCCAGGCAGGAGAGGAGGGAGGGGGAGGAGAAGGGAGGAGGAGGAGGGAGGAGGAGGAGGAGGAGGAGGAGGAGGAGGAGGAGGAGGAGGAGGAGGATGAGACGGAGGAGGAGGAGGAGGAGGAGGGGGAGGAGGAGGAAGGAGGACGGGAAGTAGGAGGAGGAGGACGAGACGGAGGAGGAGGAGGGGCAGGAGGAGGAGGAGAATGAGGAGGAGGATGATGATGAGGAATGGAGGAATAGAGGAGTTGAGGAGGAGGAGAAGAGTCGCGCAGTAGAGGAGGTCAGGGAGAGGAGGGAGGAGGAGGAGGAGGAGGAGGAGGCGGAGGAGGAAGAGTAGGACTTCCCCATCTTCCCTTCTCCACCGTCCTGCCTATCGTAGTGGTGACGGAAAACTGAAGATTGGCCCATCATGCTCGGAAGTTCCCTGGCCTTCGAAGAGTTTTCGAGAGAACCTCTCCCCGAAGACACAGAAAAAAAGCCTTTCAGAAGGCTGGAGGGCTTCTGAGAGGTCCCGCCGCCGTCTGAAGAGGCCTCCTCCTTCTCACGTCCCCCTCGAAGCGCCGCCGAATTTTGTTTTGGGGTCATAACTCGGATCTCTGGCGGCCGTTCGGGACGATCCCGGCAACACCGGAACGCCCTCCGCGCGGCGCAGCTGCTGGAACGCACCCCGAAACTGGAAAGCCGCCGAGGACCGACGAAAATTCCACCGAACACCTGGCACCTCGAGCCCGTCACCCCCCTCGCTCGCCGCCGCCTCGCTGCCCCTCATCGCCTCCCCTCCCCCCTCGCTCGCCACCGAGCCGTCTCCTCTGGGAGCAGAAGGCCAGAGGGCCACCTGCGAGGCCCCGCCGCCTTCTCAAGAGGTCTCTCCTCGCGCTCGCGTCTCCCCCCCCCCCCCCCTCGCCGCCGTTGAGCAGGGACCGACCGTCCCGGCATTCCTATAGTCATACCACGAGATGTTCTTAGAACCCCAAAATGTTCGAATAACAAAAGCAATGTTCTTAGATCAGATTCCCGATGAGTTAAAGCAAGACAGTCCCAGCCAGAAATGTTCTAAGAACATTGCGTGCAGACCACAAACAATTCTTAGAACATTGCTTGGTGGGGCTATAGGCGAGCCAGGACGCTTCGCCACGGCGGCCGATCCGGGGGGCCGCGGGCTAGGCAGCTGGCACCGCCGGGCGCCAGCGGCCACAGGGGAGGGGCCAGGGCGAGAGAGAGGCCGCCCCCGAGGAGGCGGACCCAGACGTGCGACGTCCGGATTCTTCCAGGACGGCGCCCCCGGAAGTCCAGAGCCTTTCCCCAGGGCCAGCTTCTCTTCCTGAGTCGATGTTTGACGGTCCTGGGGCCCGGCGAGGGTCTCTATAGGGGTCGAAGATAACCACAAGCCTTCCGTCCTGACTTTTTTCACGGCGCCATCCTGTCTGGGGAGGGCCCTCTCTCGGAGCCCCCTCCTGCCGCCTGGCAGGCCTCCAAGGGCCCCGGCCAGGCGCCGCCGGCAGCCCTCCTCGAAGGCCACCGCTGAGAAGACGAAGCCATAGGACGAGGCCGAGCTAGGGAGAGGGTGGGGCGAGCCTGGCTCTGCACCCAGACATGATCGCGTCGTGAATAAATCAGGACGGGAAGTTTTTGGCTATTTTCGGCCCCGGGGGCCCCGGGGGGCCCTCGCAGGGCCTCGGGACCGTCACAGAACGACGCAGGACGAAAAACCGGTCCCGGGGAAAGGGTCGGGACTTCCAGGGACGCCGTCCTGAAAAAATCTGGACGTCACATGTCTGGGGGAGGATGCATCGGGCCTCGCGGCCTTCTCCGAGCGCCAACCTAGACATGTAGACATGTAACAGGCGACGTCCTGATTTTTTCAGGACGGCGTCCCTGGAAGTCCCGACCCTTTCCCCAGGACCAATTTTTCATCCTGGATCGTTTTTGACGGTCCCGAGGCCCAGCGAGAGCCCCCCGGGGCCGAAAATAGCAACAAAAAAAAACTCCCGTCCTGATTTTTGTACGACGCGATCCTGTCTGGGAACGAATCCCAACCCCGTCCGAGCCCCGCCAGCAGGCTCTGACGCTCGGGCCCGGGCGCCACGGAGGCACGGGATGTGTGTGCCCCGGCCAACCCCTCCCCCCCACCCCCAGGGCCGTCGGCTCGCCTCGGAGTGCCTGCGCGGAGGTGGGTACCGAGGCCGTGGTCGCGCTTTCTTGCACGGCTCGGAGGCAACTCGTGGGAGCCTCCCGTACCATCCTGCCGGCTCCTGCGAATCAGCGCCAAATCGACGCTCATTCGACGCTAGCCGACGCTAACTCGTCGCTAATTAGCCCGTCGACTACAAAACGATAACCGACGCCTAAAGACGGAGTTAGTTACGAGGGCGTACAAGGCCCCCACGATTTGCCACCGAAGCAAGGCGCCGCACCCTTTTCACGGCGTCGGATGTCGAGCGAGGGAGCTCCCCCAAGGGCCAATGATGGCCCGAGAAGCCTTGAGCCGAGCCGGAAGGCTGCCACACGGACGGAGGCTCCGCAGATGCTCGCCTCCTCCTCCTCCTCCTCCTCCTCCTCCTCCTCCTCCTCCTCCTCCTCCTCCCTCCTCCTCCTTCCTCCATCCTCCTCCTCCTCCTCCTCCTCCTCCTCCTCCTCCTCCTCCTCCTCCTCCCTCCTCCTACCTCCTCCTCCTCCTCCTCCTCCTCCTCCTCCTCCCCTCCTCCTCCTCCTCCTCCTCCTCCTCCCTCCTCCTCCTCCTCCTCCTCCTCCTCCTCCTCCTCCTCCTCCTCCTCCTCCCCTCCTCCTCCTCCTCCTCCTCTCCCTCCTCCTCCTCCTCCACCACCTCCTGCTCCTCCTCTTCCTCCTCCCTCCTCCTCTCTTCCTTTCCTCCTCTTCCTCTTCTCCTCCTCTTCTTCTTCTTCTTCTTCTTCTCCTCCTCCTCCTCGTCTCCTCCTCCTCCTCCACCTCCTCCTCCCCTTCCTCCTCCTTCCTCCTCCTCCTCCTCCTCCTCCTCCTCCTCTCCTCCTCCTCCTCTCCTCCTCTTCCTCCTCCTCCTCCTCCTCCCTCCTCCTCCTCCTCCTCCTTCTCCTACTACTACTCCTACTAACCCCTCCTCCTCTTCCTTTCTCCTCTCCTCCTCCCCCTCCCCCTCCTCTTCCTCCTACTCCTTCCTTCTCCTCCTCCTCCTCCTCCTCCTCCTCCTCCTCCTCCTCCTCCTCCTCCTCCTCCTCCTCTCCTCGTGGCCCTGCATGGGGGGGCGGCCGAGCACCCGCGGTCCTGGGCTCGTCCGCGGTGAGCCTGTCCAGGAGGTCGGCGATGGTCCCGCAGACGGCCCACCACCCCCGCGGGGGTTGACCCTGAGCCGTCCGCCTAGCCAGCTCCTCCAGCTTCCTCCTCTCGGCGGCGAGCAAGTGGGAGAAGTGAGAAGGAGAAGGCCCTCTCAGAGGGCGGCGGGCCTTCTCGGAAGCCCTCGTGCCTTCTGAGAAGTGTTTTTTGACTGTGTCTCCGGGGAAGGATGAGACAGAAGACTTCTCAGAAGGCCGGTGAACTTTGCTGCCTCGATACGCAACACGCAAGACGTATCGCATTGATACGAGACTCAACACGTAGGCTGAAAACGTAGGTCCGACGCGATACATTCGCCAACACGTGGTCCAATACGTGAATCCAACACGCAACGTATTGACACGGACGTCTTGAACACGGGACGTGTTACGTTTCAGAACGGGCGTGTCGAGGCAACTGAGCCGGGGAATTGTCGAAGCTTCTGAGAAGGCCTTCTCCTTCTCACCCCTCCCCCTCGTTCGCGGCCGATCCTCAGGCCGGAGTGCTTCATGGGCGGCATGCGCTGCGTCGGGCTCTTCGGGTTCGGGTCGCCCCCGCTGGCCAGCATGTAGAGCAGCACGCCGTAGGAGTACAGGTCCACGGCGTAGGTGTACTTCCCGAGGTTCATCATGATCTCGGGCGCGGCGTACCCGTACGAGCCGCACATCGTCTTTGCGTCGCGGCTCTCGTTCAGCTTCTTCGCCAGGCCAAAGTCCGTCACCCTCGCCCGGTACTCCTTGTCCACGACCTGAGGGGCAACGATAGGGGGGGACTGGCATAGGGGGGATGCATCGACCTGGAATCGGCGATACATCGCCGATAGATCGGCGATAGGCCTCCGATCGTGAATCCGAACGTTCCTGGGCAGGTTGGGGCTATCGGGCCCCAATCGGCGATCAATGGGCGATTGGAGGTCGATGCATCCCCCCCTATGCCTAATCCGATAGCCCTTATAACGGCGACGAGGCGACGATCGAAAGCAGTGCCCCGGCACTGCTTTGAACGCGTTCAAAGCAGTGCCCCGGCACTGCTTTGAACGTATGATATGATGATATGATGATGATTATGATTGATGATGATGATGATTTTTCCAGCGTACACTGTCCGCAACTGCGGCAATCAACATCATGCTCCACTTGCCCGCAACTGCGGCCATCACCAACGCTGCGCCTCGAAGCTCCACGGAGGGCGCTCGGCAGGTCGCCCGCTCGAGCCCCACTCGACTTCACGCTGAGGAGGCGAGCCCTCAGGGGCATTGTCCGCAACTGCGGCATGATCAGAGGGCCACCACTGCGCGCCATCAGCGCCCCATTCGCTCGAGCTCCAGTCCCACCAGGACCAGCCCTGCCATCTCGTGGCGGGACTGCGCGCCTCCCATGCGCCGCTGCCGCTGGCGTCCCAGGACCCAGCCGCCACTGCGGCACAAGAAGGGGTCGCATCGTCGCCGTTGGCAGCTTGCGGCGGTGGCGTGTTCCCAGCTCGCTCAGCCCCAGCGTCTCTCCCCGCAACTGCGGTTCCCATCTGGGGTCGGACGCCCTTCCCCGCAACTGCGGTGTCCGCGTAGCTGCCCTTCTTGCCGCCCTTCTTGCCGCCCTTCCTGCCGCCCTTCCTGCGTTCCAACCTCGCGGCGAGTCTTTCAGGTGACCTGCGGCACGTATTGTGCGTGAAAGCCACCAGAGGGAAGTGCGCTCCGTGCCTCGCCCTGCCGAAGGCGCCATGCCATATCTTGTCGTCGAGGTTGCCCTGCTTCACTCTGAAGGGATGGCGCACCCAATCGTCGCGTTCCCTGCGCGCCATCCTTTGCTCGAACTCCGCAACTGCGGTCAAGGATTCGCCAGATGGCGTCAGGAAGGCGCGCATCTTGTTTTCAACGGGCTCAGCCTTGGGCACGTAAGTCTGAAGCATCTTCCCAGGGCCATTCGTGTAGTCGAAGACAGGGAAAGACGGATCATGCTGGGTCGTCAAGAATCCGCCCTCACGGTCGTGCAGAACACTCAGGCCATGGTGAAGCTTGTACTGCCCAGGACAGTTTATGAACAAAATCGCCATGCTGTCTGCCCTGGGCTGGCCGCCTGCTGTCTTCCAGGGGGTCCACGCGGCGACGTCCACAGTCAGGCCGCAATTGCGGCACCAGGACACAAGCTGGAACATGCACATGTTGAAGTCCCCCATGCAGACCTTCACGTCCCATTCCCTGACGTAGGCGACGAACCAGTTGTAGAACTCATGGAGCTTCGTGACGCCCCAGTCTTGGTTGGCCAAGCTGTGGTGGACGTGCACCGCCATGACGTTGAAGGAGCCCCCCAAATGGGTCACGGCCTGGTCCAGGTGGACGCGCACCACCATCGCCCTGGAGTACTTGTTGTGCAGCTTTGGCGCAGGAGCCTCCGCAACTGCGGACGGTTTCTTCTTCTTCTTCGTTTTGGACTTCTCCTGCTTGTGGAAGAGTCTCGCAAAGTCTACGTGTTCAATGTGGCCGCCACTGCGGTCCCTCATGCCAACAAGGAGGGTCCCTGATGGCTCGCCGCCCTTAACGCACAGGTAGTTGTATTGAGTCCGACTCCGAAACCTATCGTCCGCAACTGCGGCTGCACTGTCCCTCGCGTCGTGCTCCCCACTGAGTACCGCGCAGGTCTCGTCGTCGCACTCGCAGAGGGCGATGATCTGGGCAGGGTTCGCGCGGAGCTGCGCCCACTCGTCCGCGCGTTGCGTGGGTCTAGCTGCAGTCCCTCCGAAGTTGGCCACGTAGAAGCCGACCCGTCCCGCTTCGAACTCCGTTTTCTCCTCCCATGCGTCGACAAGAGCTCTTTGTTTTTCCGACAGATTGCTTGTCTCGATGATGGGCACCCGTTTCCAGGTTCTCCGCGACGACAACACTCTCGGCATGTAGGAGTCATGTGCTGCCGCAACTGCGGCTCCCGCACCTCCCCGGGACTCAGCCTCGTCAGCGGAGGCAGCCGAGGACGCGACGGTGCTGTCGCCATCTTGCGCCCGCTGGTCGTCGTCATCATCCGCAACTGCGGCTTCCTCGTCTTTGCCTCCCTCCTCCTCCTCAGCGTTGTGGATGAACACCGTTCTGGCGAATCGAAATCCACGGTCCATACTCCCTGAGGATGCGCTCGGGCGCGCGGGCGGCCACGTGCTTGCGTCTTCGCGTGCGCCACCTCGAGCCACGGTGGCTACGGAAATGGATCGTGAATGGGCATGGGGTCGGATGGAGGGAGGAGACAAAAGAGGATTCGAGGAGTGGCAGAAGGAGGGCGAGGACTCAAAGGAACCGAAAGAACAACAAATGGACTGGCGGAGAAGCAGAAGGAGGGCGACGATTGCAAGGGACTGTGAAAGGATTATTTTCACAGCAGCAGGAAGACCGCAACTGCGGTTTTGCCTCATCTCCTGCCCGCGCGGGAGCCGCTTGGAAAAACAACTTCCCTCTGGACTTCCTGTGGGTCCGCAACTGCGGCCTGCATCACGCTAGGGCTGGGATTACCAGCGCCATTTGCCCTCCCAGGGTTCTCACTGTTTCCGAATGCACGAACTGCGACAGCGCCGAACGGTTCCCAGACGCCGCGTCGTTCGCGACTTTTTGCAGCCACCCAGCAAACGTGAGCGGCCATTGCTCCTTGTGCTGCTTGCACATCTCCTCGTCCCAATGCGTCTTGAACCATGCCCACTCCCCCCTCTGCTCGTCTGAGAGGACGCCTTTTCCGCGAGCCAGGCGATCCAGAGCTGCCATCCTGTTTTTCTTGATCTTGAACTCCTCGGGATTCCACTGCGCTAGGGCGTGTTTGTTAGCCAAAGCCGTTTCCACCGCAACTGCGGCCTCCTTCTTTGCCCTCAAGGCGGCCTCGGCCTCTCGAATCTGCTTCTTGAGATCGTGCAACGCCTTCGTCCTGTCGTTCGCTTCCAGAGCCAGGCGCCGCTTTTTCGCCACCACTGCGGCTTCGTGGTCTCGCTGGGCAGTCAACGCTCGTAGGACCTCGTTGTCCTCCCGCGCCAGCTCTCTCAACCGCTTCTTTTGTTTGTGTCGTTGCTGTCGGCAATCCTGCGCTAGTTTCTCCATGCCCACTTGGCGCAGCATATCTTCCGCCTCGCGGAGCGTTTCTGCCAAGGACGTCGCCACTGCCACCTGCTCGGCCGCCTCTGCGTCGACCACGCAGTCCATGGATACCGAGGATCCTTGAGGCCCAGGTGCCGCAACTGCGGCATCGCACTGTTCCGCAAGAGCCTCGGCCCACGAGGCCTCCTCTTGCTCTTCGTCCTCCTCGTGCTCCTCGTGCACCTCCTCCTCCTCCTCCTCCCCGCCCTCCTCATCGCCCTCCTCGTGGCCTGGCTCCTGGCCTAGCGCTTCGTCGCCGAGCTTCTCCAACACGGAATCTGTGGCGTCGTGTTTCTCGTATTCGTGTATGAGACGCAGCACGTCATTGTAGGACCATTTCAAACGTTTCTGCTCGCATTCTTCCCTCACCTCCGCGACTGCGGTGTCCACTTTTGCTCGCAGCCCCCCTGCTTCCCAGAGTTCCGCCGCCTCTCGGCAAATCTCGAGATCTCCTGACTTGTCGAAGGGCGCTCGAATTCCCACTTTCAGGAAACCTTTCGCGGCGTCCAAGTGCAACTGCACATTCTCCAACACTGACAGCATCAAGTCGGCGCAATCGGAACGCCGCAACTGCGGCACGTGCTTCCCCAACGCCATTTGCTGCACCAGCGCTTTGGTCTCGAGGGCAATGTACCGGCGCTTCACGTGCTGGTTCAAGTCCGTGTCCACGGGCTGCGCAACTGCGGTCGCCCCCCCGCCGTGAATGATCAGCACGTAGCCGCGCTGCCAGGCGAGTCTCCGCACAGCGTCTGCTTTGTGCGGGGAATGGTCGTCGGCCATGAGGATGCGCCACTTTCCCCGCAACTGCGGGTCGTCGGGCCAGGCCCGCAAGTGCCGCTGCAAGAATGATACAACGTCGTCTGCGCGGTAGGACCCCTTCTCGGACGTCGCCGTGCTCACCCAAGACGGATAGCCGCGACTGCGGGCATGTGCGGCCAAGCCCTCAGCGATGACAGATCCCCCCTTGAACATTAGCTCCGCCGGCGGTGGTCCGCAACTGCGGATGTCCTCCGCGTCGCTCGACACCGTCAGGTTCGCTGTCCACCGAGCCCTGCTGTCGTCATGCGCCTCGACAAGCGGGACAATGCCACCCTTCACAGCCAAGGTCGGCTTCGAGGCCGACGACGACTCGTTGTGGTGAAAGGGCGACTGGTCCCAGTTCAGGATGTGCGGGTCGTACCCCAGAAGCTCCTCTGCAGCTGCGCGGACCCTGGCCACGTTCAAGATCATAGTCTCAAAACGAGATTGGAGCAACCATTTTGGCACCTTGTACTTGCGGTTCGGCTTCTTCATGCTCAGGCCGTATGAGCGCCGCCACTTCACCCACCACCGAGGCCGCAACTGCGGCACCATCGGTTTGCCTCCCCGCTTCATTGTCTCCACGCAGTAGTCCGCGACGAGTTGCTTCGCCTTCGTAACCAGCAGGGATTGGGAGAACCTGGCCAACATCTTGGGCCACTCCTCCGCAACTGCGGTTCGCTTGGCCACCGCCTTCCAGTCCACGGAGTACCTCATGTGGGACCACCACTCGTACAGAGCGGCTTCCAGCCATGGAGCCTTGTTCGGGCGCCCTTGGGTGCCCCGCGCGCGGCGTCGTCCATGGGCGCTCGCCGTGGCATGTCCACCCCGTTTGCGCCAGTTTTGAAACCA